CATGGAGAGCCTCAAGGTCCATAAATAGCAACACCCTAGTGGTCCTGGGCCCTAAGGAAGTTAGATTGGCTTCAACCAGAGCCAGGGCCTTTTCAACTCTGGCTCCGGCCTGGTGGAATGCTCTGCCTCATGAGACCAGGGCCCTACAGGATCTGATTTCTTTCCGCAGGGCCTGTAAGACAGAGTTGTTCCGCCTGGCCTTTGGCTTGGAGCCAAATTGATTCCTTCCCTCTCTTTCTTTTTTCCTTTCCTTCTCCTCCTGCGATGAGGCTACATTTTAATATTTTAATGTCTCAATATTTTAATGTTGTATTTTAATTTTGTTTTTAAGTTGTTATCATTCAACTTGTTTTTATTATTGCTTGTAAGCCACTCTGAGCCTGGCCTTAGCTGGGGAGGGCGGGGTATAAATAAAAATTATTATTATTATTATTATATTATTATTATTATTATTATTAAATAACTCCTTACTCTAACCTCTCTAAGCTCTGGCTTCATCTGTGGAGGGAAAGGGGCCCCATCACTTTGCCATCTGACATGGATTCCCTTTTGATCCATCATCCAGGCTCACAGCTCCAAAGGAAACTAGCCTGGTTTAATTGCAGGTTCTAGCACAATTTAGCAACCCAAGCCTTAATTAAATTCTAATACCTACTGGAACCAGGAATTTAGGGCACTCATTAACTCATAACAAGATACATAAGTTGTGGTCCTTGGTTGCTATTGCAACTCTCTTTCTCTTTGACACTAGTCATCTGTGAACCTGTCATATTCATTGATTTTCTGGAGAAAACATACCCATCCTAACTCTCCTGTCTGGTCTCACATTGCAACAATAGACAGACAAAAAGGTGGCTACCATTCTCCCCAGTCCTAATAGCTAGAAGTATTTTACAATCAATACATTCTGTTATATAAATGTCTAACGCTACAGGGTCTTCCAAAATTGCAACCACTCATAGATAATTTTATTAAACCACTGAGAAGACTACAGTGCATGGAAACCAATTCTTTGAGAAAAGAAAAGTGGGGAATGGTTTTGAAGCCACTAACATTTCATTTTCTTTTTGAAAATAAAAGAAGTTCTTATTGAAAATAAAACACAAAGGAAGTTTCTTGGCTCTGAAACTCTTCAACGTATAACAGTAAATAATTGGCCTTGATCACGAAACAAATGTGAGAAGCGATTGTTTCAATTTGTAACAGCCTGAGTGGTGTTTTATGCCATTCAATGAAAAATGGATAATGGTGTGCTTCGCTTACATTGTTAGCAAACTGCATTGTTATAGGGGAGGAGGTATAGCTCAATAGTAGAGACATACAGAAGGTCCCATATTTCCATGTCTTACTTTGCTGCATATTTTGCGATTTTAAACCTCTGCTGGGGTTCCTTCACCAAAGAGTTGTTGTTGTTGTTTAGTCGTTTAGTCGTGTCCGACTCTTCATGACCCCATGGACCAGACCACACCAGGCACTTCTGTCTTCCACTGCCTCCCGCAGTTTGGTCAAACTCATGCTGGTAGCTTCGAAGACACTATCCAACCATCTCGTCCTCTGTCGTCCCCTTCTCCTTGTGCCCTCCATCTTTCCCAGCATCAGGGTCTTTTCCAGGGAGTCTTCTCTTCTCATGAGGTGGCCAAAGTATTGGAGCCTCAGCTTCACGATCTGTCCTTCCAGGGAGCACTCAGGGCTGATTTTCTTAAGAATGGAGAGGTTTGATCTTCTTGCAGTCCATGGGACTCTCAAGAGTCTCCTCCAGCACCATAATTCAAAAGCATCAATTCTTCGGCGATCAGCCTTCTTTATGGTCCAGCTCTCACTTCCATACATCACTACTGGGAAAACCATAGCTTTTACTATATGGACCTTTGTTGGCAAGGTGATGTCTCGACTTTTTAAGATGCTGTCTAGGTTTGTCATTGCTTTTCTCCCAAGAAGAAATTTCGTGGCTGCTGTCACCATCTGCAGTGATCATGGAGCCCAAGAAAGTAAAATCTCTCACTGCCTCCATTTCTTCCCCTTCTATTTGCCAGGAGGTGATGGGACCAGTGGCCATGATCTTCGTTTTTTTTTGATGTTGAGCTTCAGACCATATTTTGCGCTCTCCTCTTTCACCCTCAATAAAAGGTTCTTTAATTCCTTCTCACTTTCTGCCATCAAGGTTGTGTCATCTGCATATCTGAGGTTGTTGATATTTCTTCCGGCAATTTTAATTCTGGCTGGGGATTCATCCAGCCCAGCCTTTCGCATGATGAATTCTGCATATAAGTTAAATATGCAGGGAGACAAAATACAGCCTTGTCATACTCCTTTCCCAATTTTGAACCAATCAGTTGTTCCACATCCAGTTCTAACTGTAGCTTCTTGTCCCACATAGAGATTTCTCAGGAGACAGATGAGGTGATCAGGCACTCCCATTTCTTTAAGAACTTGCCATAGTTTGCTGTGGTCGACACAGTCAAAGGCTTTTGCATAGTCAATGAAGCAGAAGTAGATGTCTTTCTGGAACTCTCTAGCTTTCTCCATAATCCAGTGCATGTTTGCAATTTGGTCTCTGGTTCCTCTGCCTTTTCTAAATCCAGCTTGCACTTCTGGGAGTTCTCGGTCCACATACTGCTTGAGCCTTCCTTGTAGAATTTTAAGCATAACCTTGCTAGCGTGTGAAATGAGTGCAATTGTGCAATAGTTGGAGCATTCTTTAGCACTGCCCTTCTTTGGGATTGGGATGTAGACTGATCTTCTCCAATCCTCTGGCCACTGCTGAGTTTTCCAAACTTGCTGGCATATTGAGTGTAGCACCTTAACAGCATCATCTTTTAAAATTTTAAATAGTTCAGCTGGGATACCATCACTTCCAGTGGCCTTGTTATCTGCAGTGCTTTCTAAGGCCCATTTGACTTCACTCTCCAGGATGTCTGGCTCAAGGTCAGCAACCACACTACCTGGGGTGTACATCCATATCTTTCTGGTATAATTCCTCTGTGTATTCTTGCCACCTCTTCTTGATGTCTTCTGCTTCTGTTAGGTCCTTACCACTTTTGTCCTTTATTATGGTAATCTTTGAAAGAAATGTTCCTTTCAGATCTCCAATTTTCTTGAACAGATCTCTGGTTCTTCCCATTCTGTTGTTTTCCTCTATTTCTTTGCATTGCTCGTTTAAGAAGGCCTTCTTGTCTCTCCTTGCTATTTTTTGGAAATCTGCATTCAATTTCCTGTATCTTTCTCTATCTCCCTCGCATTTTGCTTGCCTTCTGTCCCCCGCTATTTGTAAGGCCTCGTTGGACAGCCACTTTGCTTTCTTGCATTTCCTTTTCATTGGGATGGTTTTTGTTGCTGCCTCCTGTATAATGTTGCAAGCCTCCATCCATAGTTCTTCAGGCACTCTGTCCACCAAATCTAAATCCTTAAACCTGTTCCTCACTTCCACTGTGTATTCATAAGGGATTTGACTTAGATTGTATCTTACCGGCCCAGTGGTTTTTCCTACTTTCTTCAGTTTAAGCTTGAATTTTGCTATAAGAAGCTGATGATCTGAGCCACAGTCAGCTCCAGGTCTTGTTTTTGCTGACAGTCTTGTTTTTGCTGACAGTCAGCTCCAGGTCTTGTTTTTGCTGACTGTACTCACCAAAGAGTACTTGCCCCAAACTTGGATCTTGGCATCCAGAAATTCTCTTTTTGTGGCTATCTTTTCCTTGCCAACCAACATTTATTCCCAGAAAAACAATGACCTACGATGAGACTTTATTTTTATAAATGAAAAGGTGCTTGATGTGGCAGAAATTATTCTGCATGGAGGAATTGCGGATGGAATTCACATGAAAATGGTTTGTAGCACCAGAGGACTAACCCAGTTCATCATTCATTGTAGCACCAGTATCAATAACAATCAAAATGAATAAGCTTACTAAATTTATTGAGCATTAATCCTTGCTCGGGGACATGTGGGAGAATGAGCTAGAGACAAGAGAGAAAGTGTTGTAAGGCAGAGCTGTTTCTGTTTCTGTTTGGGAGAAAGGCATAGCCTGGTGCCCAAAGCTGTCTGTCACACTTGTGTTCCACTATGTTGTGACAAAACAAAATCCTTAAAAAAAAACCCTGCCAAACAAACCAATATAAAAATATATATAAATCAAATAAACAAAACTATATTTGGACTATATACAGGCAGACAAGGTGGTGCAATATTGTGTGTGGGTGTCCTTCTTGCTGCAGACTGAGGCCTCCTTTGTTGTCAAGCCACAGGACATGATTGTAAACTCCTTCTATCACACTCAGAAGCCCAGCACTGTTCACATTCTTCTTCTTCTTCTTCTTCTTCTTCTTCTTCTTCTTCTTCTTCTTCTTCACATTCCTGCTTTACAGCCCCTTCCAACTCTATTATTATTATTATTATTATTATTATTATTATTATTATTTCAATTTATATACTGCTTAATAAGAAGAGCTCTGTCAGATCAGATCCAAGGCCTGGAGGAGCAGCTGCCTCAATGCTGGAGGCAATATAGGCATCAGGATTAGTAGCCACTTGTCTTATCCTCCATGAGTTTCTTTAGCTATCCCTGTTCCTATATGGCAGGGGTGGCCAACTCCCAAGGGACTGCGATCTACTTTCAGAATTAAAATCTGACCTTTTTTAGAGGTATGAAATACCCCGTATTATGCCCATTTTGTTAGGGTTCCAGGGTTTTTTGGGGGGGACTTTTAAGGGGGGATGGGATTAATTACTCACCAAAACAGTGCTGTGAAAGCATTTTGCCTCATAGCAAAAACTCCATCTTACATTACAGATATCAGGAGAAAATCAAGGCAGGGGAGAGGGGCCGGGGCCGGGTGCTCTTAGGCAAAAGCAAAGGAAAATGAGTCTGTGATTGACAGTGATCGACTGCTCCTCCCGGGAATCGACCAGTCAATCCCAACCGATCTGTTGGACATGCCTGCAATATGGGACTCAGTGTGCAGTCGCTGTCAGATACAGGGTGACACATTCATAGGCTTCAACAGTCAGGATAGCTCAGTTGTTAGAGCATGAGATGCTTATTAATCTCAGGGTCATGGGCTCGAATCCCAAGTTGGGCAAAAGATTCTTGCATTGCAAGGGGTTGGACTAGTTGACCCTTGTGGTCCCTTCCAACTCCACAATTCTAGGATTCTATGACTGCCAATCCTATTCTCTCTTTTTAACGATTTTTATTGGTTTTTAAACAAATACAAATACAATAACAATAACCATTAAACACTCAACCAGCAATACATCTAGTGGTGTTTATTTTATTCATTGTTTCTAGACATACACTTACACATTCAACATTCAAACATACAAGAAAGTCCAGTACCTTTCTGTACACTCACCTATAGGAAAGAAAGGAAATAAACTAAAGAAAGAAGGAACAGAAGAAGAAACAACAAGCTTCTGGTTTGCCTGCAAAGGGAAATGGCGGCGCAGAACGGATCTTCTGCTTAAGGGACGACTGTTTCCAAGCTATCAGGACCTTAGGGGTGTGTGCTAGGGCTAAGCACCCCCCTGAAAAAGCCCCATGGACGTGTGGGGTCTTGAGGGGACCAGCTGAGCGCTATGAAACTCGCAACACTCCTGGAACCCTGCTGTTGAATTGGCAGTGAGTGGGGTGTGTGTGAGAGAGCGGCTGAAGTTCGCTCACGGCTAAATTGCAGTCCGATAGCTGAAGCCACGATCGCCACCTGAAGCAGCAGACTTTCCAAACAAGGTATTTATAGCCAATTGATAATAGACTTGCTTTAAATTAAGATTTGGACCCAGAGGAACAATTTAGCAAAAATGGAGTTTAAGAAAGGCTTTTCATACATGGTTTCAAAATTCCAAAAGGAAGTAATAGAAGAGAACTCAAAATTATTAAAGAAAATGTACAACATCCTTTTGGAATGAGAAAGGAAAGATGAGGAAGTGAAATCAGTAATGATCAAATGGGCACAAGACATAGGCCACGATATACAATTTGGAGTTTGGATAAAACTTTGGAAAGTAAATCTGAAATTTACGGACTGTATATTACTAAAGGAAAATTACATGAAGATGATGTATAGATGGCATATCTCACCGCTGAAACTGGCCAAAATATATATTAAAAAAATGAACAGAAGGAATGTTGGAGGTGTAAAGAGATTGAAGGAACTTTTTATCATATGTGGTGGGATTGTAAAAGTGTTAAGGTATATTGGGAAATGATCTACAATGAATTAAAAAAAATGTTTAAAATAATATTTGTTAAACAACCAGAAGCCTTCCTGTTGGGTATTTTAGGGCAAGACCTGCCAAAAGAGAAAAGGACACTATTTACGTATGCGATGACAGCAGCGAGAATACTGCTAGCACAAAATTGGAAGACTGGAGAAATTCCAACAAAAGAACAATGGCAAGAAAAACTGATGAGCTATGCGGAGATGGCGAAGCTGACACACAGACTTCGGGAAAAGGACAATAGGGATTTTGAAAAAGAGTGGGAACTTTTTATATTATATTTGCAGAAAGAAAGACAGAATATTGATCTGATGGTAAGATTTAAATAAACATTCACAACTTTATGGATAGGGAATAGGTAATGTAATAAAAGGAAAAATATGTATTTGTAGAAAATAACAGAATATATGAATGAGGTTAATAAATCAGAAATGGAAGTTGAGGGAAGTCCAAAAGGGGGGAGGGAGAGATGTTTATATAAACTGTATGTTATAAGCATATTTGTAATGACAGAAAAGAAAATTAATAAAAATTTAGAAAAAAGAAGAAACGACAAGCTCCTCCCTCACCACTATATCTTAACTTTCATCGCCTACAGAGAAAGGCTCCCACCCTGGCTCACCCCTCTCTTCTCACAGCCTCTCACCTGTGAGATCTCTCCTGACCACCTCTCACACAGGGTCCAAACTGTCCTTCCCCTTCATCTGTATACAGTTCTTACTGTCCTAGGATCAAACAGCACTCTTGCCACATTAAATGTCAATGGGGTGCCCTTCAAATTCCTCATCTTTTTGGTCATACATACTCCAGCTCTTAGTAAGGGGCAAAGGCAAAGCTGGATTTATTAATAAAGCAATTTAAGTATATCCCAAATGCCACAAATTTGTAAGGCCTAAAAATCTAGGTCCTGTGCAAAAACTTAGCTGAATGTGCCCACTGGTAATTCCTATGGTTCCCACAAAAGGTCTCAGTAAAATGTCTCCTCAAATATCCATAATATATAAGATAAGGAGCCACGTCCTCACCATTTTGTGTTTCTCTCTCTTTTTCTGCTCCTTTAGATGTGGCGGTCCTTTTGTTTTATGCCACATTCCATGGCAGGTATTTGTGTTACGCCACACACACACAAAGCCATTTTGTGACTGGCACTCTGACACTTCCACAAATTCCCAGTGTGCCCACTGGCCCAGAAAGGTTGGCAGCCCTCACCTCAGGGAATGAGGACTTCTTGATCATCCTTTGTATCTTGCTGGGGAAAGTACACACATTCACACAATTAAGTGTGATTTAACGTGTTAAATAAATTGGGATGGTAAATTGATATGACATGAGATTAATAATAATAATAATAATAATAATAATAATAATTTATTTATTTCTACCCCGCCAATCTGGCTGGGTTTACCCAGCTACTCTGGGTGGCTTCCAACAAAGTATTAAAATACAGTGGTCTGTTAAACATTAAAAGCTTCCCTAAGCAGGGCTGCCTTCAGAAGTCTTCTAAAAGTCTGGTAGTTGTTCTTCTCTTTGACATCTGGTGGGAGGGCGTTCCACAGGGCAGGTGCCACTATTGAGAAGGCCCTCTGCCTGGTTCCCTGTAACTTGGCTTCTCACAGGGAGGGAACTGCCAGAAGGCCCTCAGAGCTGGACCTCAGTGTCCGGGCAGAACGATGGGGGTGGAGACGCTCCTTCAGGTATACTGGACCGAGGCATGAGATCATACTCAGAATAAGTGTCTCACTTAGGAAAGGGACTCTAACCTGCATGGCCATAAATCTGAGCAGGGCAAAGGGAAAGATACCTACCCCGCAGAATGGTGCAGACAGTAACTGGGAACCTCCTCTTCTCACTGTTCACCATGGGAAGCACACTTGTCATGTGCTTGTGGATCTAGTAGACACAGTTGAGCAGCCAATGGCGCCTCAAGTTCAACTCAAAAGAAATCCACTTAAACACAGCAGGAACACCATCTGGGGAGACAGCTGACCTCTTCCTGCCCCCTCTTTCTCCATGCCAAATGAACATGATTATAAGCAACCAAATGCATGTAAAAGACTTCAATGATCCCAATAATTATTGCCCTATTTCAAATGAAGAATGGGGAGAATAATAAATCCCTTCGCTTCAGGCAGCACAGAATCTTAAGGCCGAGTCTTACAGTGTGATGAAGGCGAACACTTTTGCTTCTCTTCTTTCCCATTTATCTTGGAAGATAATCTCTCCATCACAGCTATACCTCTCCTCTTAGACTCCTGTTTCATGTGGAGGGACTTCATAGTTTACTCTCAAACAAGATTCAGGAAATGAAGAGTGCCATAAGGTTAGGGATTTAATCAGGGTGGGGGTGACTGGAAGGGGAGATCTGTGTGCTGTGTTTGAATTCAAATCTGACTTTATGTTGGTTTTCTAAGAGTCTTTGGAAGTTGTGCAGTTGAGCTCTGTTCTGGCGGAGGCTGTGAGAGGAAAACTGAGAGACGGGAGTTTTGTAGCAGAGCATGTGGGAGAGGATGTATGGCAATTCTAATCTTCAGATAAGCCTTAGCAGGGTCCTCTATTGACACTTGCTGGGAGTACCCACTAGTCTCAGAGTTATCTGTGCTGGCTGCTTCACATATACAAATTGCTCCTTCAACCTTGCAAGGATACATCAACATTGTCAAGGCCGCTGATGTGTGATTTATGTAACTGTAATAATACAGAAGTCCCAAGAACATCTCTGTTAGCCAGCCAGGTGCTAGGAGTCATGTCCATTGTTGTTCAGAGGGGTCCCCAGCACCCAAGAAAGGGACATAACCTGTCTGCCTTTGCTTGGCTTTGCTCTTTGTTACTCCATCATATTAATAAAAGTTGTTTATCAAATAACAGACCAGGTGTGCTTTGTTGCCCTGTCAGAATCCCCAAAGCACTTCTGCCCTTGGGTGGAACAGAGGCCTCTAGGAAAGCAGATGTTCTTGCACTTCCAAGTTCTTTGTCTAGTGTGACTTGCAGGTCAACATGTTTATGCAACAATAATTAAACCACATGATGGAGAAGCAGTAAATAATAAAAGAGACAAGAATATGAGGGAGCACATTTGAGATAATGTATAGTTTTCCTACAGAAATTAATTCCTCTTGGACTACTGCAATGCGCTCTACAGGGGGCTACCTTTGAAGGTGACTTGGAAGCTACAACTAATACAGAACGTGGAGTACCCTCCCTTCAGTTGTCAAGATGTCTGATGTTTTTCAATTTTTTATATATGCTATTAGCTGCCCAGATGGTTGGGAATAATAATAATAATAATAATAATAATAATAATAATTCCATGGAATGAAAAAATGAAACTGATGATAAAAGTGTTCCCATTAGTTTCATCCACTTCTTCATCCAATGTACTTAGTTGTGAATTAATTTGTTTACATGGGTTTTGAGGGCCAAACTAGGGTAAGTTGTATATGTATAGGTTTTTGCTAATGGGGCACACAGCTCTGCTAGAGGAGCTGGTTTTCTTTAGGAAAATGGTTTGTGTGTCTGAATGTTCTTCCCTTGTACTGATGTCCCTTGCCTTTAAATCCATAATCTTGTCTAGTATGGCTCTTAATGTGTGCTCCATCCCCTTATCTCTGGCTAGGAATGTTTGAGAAATGTGATCTTAGGAAATTCTGATGTGAACCTACCAGAACCATATGTACTTCTCTTAGTCTAATGTCTGGATCTGAACATAATTATCCTTTGAATGTCACATGTCTCCAAATTTTGCGGTGTAGTTTTCTCCTCTCAGAAACCATGCCAAAATTTATGTTTTTACAACACATTTAAAAATGCATACTTTGTAGGAAAGCATTCAAAATAAGTATTTAAATATCTATTTTGTGCAGATTGAGTCAAAACCAAACATTCAAAGCAGAAACAGGACTGAACAGACTTCTTAATGATGATACAGACCAGGAAAAATCTGAGCCCTCCATCACTATCTCTGGTTCTGCTCATGTCTCTCTTTAGTTCTTTGCTGCTTTCTTTCAAAAGACAAATGGGAAGTTCATGTTTGAAATATACTCGGAATCGAGAGTGGATTTAATGGTCTTTATTCAGCTCATAGTGGTGAGGAGGAATGGAAGTTCCTCCAGAATGTCCGCTTTATATACATTATTTACACAATGGGCCCCACGTGATTGGTTAATTCCAGGATTCTCCTGTAGGCCAAGCAGGTTGCGGATTTACCCAGAGCTGGATTGGGTGGCTCCTGTGGACCAATCAGACTGCTGCATTTTGGATCCTATTCAACTCAGTACATAACACCCCTCCCCTCTAAGTTCCAGTCCTGCCTGGGAGGTTGCATTCATAGTCCTCAAGGTACGCCGGCCACCTACGTGTGCATTGCAGCCTGGGGTGTTCCCTGGTCGGGGGTTTGGGTTCTGGCTTGTGCTCCAAGGATGCTGGCTGCGATGGGGCCGTTTGGTCTGGCACAACTAGCTTTCTCAGTCATGGCTCTGGTTCCGGTGTCCTTTCAGCCTCGAGGGTCCTCTCTGTATTTACTGATTCTGCCTCCCCTGCTGGCCCCTCCTGCTCTATGGGCCTCACTGCCCCACTGTTCCCTTGGGACTCCTCTGACCTGTCCTCCTCCTGGTTTTCTCCTGGTGCCCTTGGGGGATCTGGGTGGGATTCTTGGCAGGGATGGCAGTGTTTGACCCAGGCCTCTATCTCTCTTTCAATCCCCAGCCACCACACATAACTCCTGGAGAGGGCCTTCATTCTCACTACCCCTGGGTGTATCTCGTGTAGGGCTGTGAGGACCCTTTTGCGGAGGGGATGTGGAACGATGACCCTGCTTCCCCATAACAGGCACCCCTTGTGGGTCGACAGTTCATGTTTACAGGTTGTGTAGCCTGCAAATTCTGGCCCAGGGCTGCTGCTGGGCCATCCCCTCCACACCCAGTCCAGGACCCGGGAGATGACCTTATTTTTCTTGGAATGGTGTGCAACTTCTTGTGCCTGAATGGGGCAGTCGGGAAGCAGCTCCAGGCTCATAACTTCTTGCGCGGACACTGGGTCAGGGCCTGTTTCTGGTAGTGCTAGCCTACTGAGGTCATCCACGTGGCCCATCGCCTTCCCAGGGTGGTGAATCAGTGCATACTGGTAGCCGGCAAGGAAAATTGACCACCTGAGGATGTGAGGAGACAGCACTTGGGGCGTCTGCTTTTCAGGGGCAAACAAACCAAGCAACGGTTGTGGTCAGTCACCAAGATAAAGGGCTGCCCGTACAAGAAACCATGGATTTTTTTTTACTCCCTTCACGATTGCCAGACCCTCCTTGTCAATTTGCGAGTAGTTCTGCTCGGCTGCGGTGAGTGTCTGGGAAAAGTATGCTACCGGCACCTCTCTTCCATCCGGGAGTTGGTGTCCCAGGACAGTGCTGATTCTGTAGGGCGAGGCATCGCATGCTAGCACTCTCGTCGAAGTGTGCCAAGACTGAGTTTGAGATGAGCAAGTCCTTGACTGCCTGGAATGTGGCCTCTTGGGGCTGGCCCCACACCAAAGGGGCCTGCTTGTCCAGGAGTCTGTGTAGGGGCTCCGCTACCTTCCTTATGGGGGAGGAAGGCATGGTAAAAGTTCAATAGTCCCAAGAAGGCCTGAAGTTCAGTCTTGCCCTTGGGTGCTGGGGCATCACAAATGGCCTGTACCTTGTCCCCAGTCGGGTGGACCCCTTCTGCGTCCACCATGAATCCCAGAAAGTCCACCTGAAACACTCCTTGTTTCCGCTCAGCTGGAAAGGGGAAAGAGGGCGGTCCCTGGGCGTGCCTGGCCTTAAGTAGGCTAGGCCACGCCTCCCCAGCCCGCCGATTGGCGGGCCGGGTCGAAGGCACGCCCGGGGATTCCCTGGATTTCGCGGGGGCAAAAGGCCAGCCCCCGCGTGTGTGGGAGGGGGTAGCCCACAACCCCCTCTCCTCCCAAGCTCGGAAATGGCTTTGCGTGGCAATTCCCCTCCCCCATGTGAAATGAAGACACTGGACACATTATTTAAGGTTAATGGGCATAAAAAAGGCCACAACTTTATTGATTACAGAATTGAAAGGTATTGGCCTTAGGCATCGGCTCCTATCGACTACCCAGCATGGAGACCGGGAAGGGTTATCCACAAGCTGTGGGAGTCCTGTTGAAGTATGCCAACTAGGATCCCATGCGTGTCACCGCTCGGGGGCATGCCGGAGGCCCTTACCTCCCTAGGTTTCGGACAAGGCAACGCCCCCCCGGAGTCCTCTACCGGACTACCCTTTTCTTTGGGGGAAGGTGATGGCGCTTCCTCCCCCCCATTCATTTTCATAACAATTAACCCCTGCCAATGCCTAACTGCCACTCGATCAAAGCTCGCCGCCAATACCTTCAAACCTGTAACCAACTCCTAATCCCTGCTATGATGTCCCCCAACCACATATCGTTTCCAGCATCTGACAGATGCACGCCATCTCATTTGTAGAGGGCCTCGTTGCTGTACTGGATGCCTGGGTGTCCTATGACGCACCCGCCCAGAGCCGCCACTCTACATTCCACAGCCCACTCCAAGACCTTTCTTGCTTTATTGATTCCAACCGGGCTCACACAATCCCTCCATGTCCTCCTCTCAAGCAACGAGGACCACAAGATAGTAATGTTTGGGTAAACCGCCATCAGATCAGCAAAATCGTCAAAAATGTTCCATCTCAAGTCAATAGCTTTCCAGTACGCTAGGTCATTTTCCCCCAACTGGATAACCAGGGCATCAGGTGGGCCCTCAGAGGCAGCTCTCGCCATCACGGCTGGCTTGAATTCGCTCCAGCGCATCCCTCTTCGCGCTATCCACGCCAGCTCCACATTTGCAGGCAAGTTCAAGTTTTGTCCCAACCCGGTACTCATGGCACGATTCTTGGCCCAATGCACAATGCTGTGGCCCACCAACCAAATGCGCACCCTCTTGTATTCTGAAAAGCAAATAGACAGAAAAACCAAGGTCAGGAGAACAATCGCTAGTCATAGATTCTTTCTCACATAAGCTTTGTATGCATTAGATTTCCACCGCCCTAAGTCCTTTATCCTCCCTGTGGAGAGTCCAAGGTGCACTGCAGTGGTAGCTGCCCCGATCCGAAAGGAGTGAGCCGCAAATTCAGCCGCGGGCAGTCCGCATGCTGCCAACGCCATGCGCATCACTCGCGTAAACTGGTGTCTGGCCAAGAGCGATCCACCCGCGTGAATAAAAAAGGGGCCGGGGCTATTGGGTCTTAAGTAGAGCTCCATACTTGAACGATTAGGTCAGTCCCTGATAGGGTCAGATCACTTAAGAGGATGCCCCTCTGGCAGTGGGCAACCCCTCCCTCGCAGACTACCTCCCCTATGTGCAGGGCACCAAAGAAGGCTATGGAATAAGCGGCAGAGAATAGGCAAGCTTCATATTTTGACCAGCATATTTCTCGTAATTTTTTGTGTATCTGGGTCAGAATATCATAAGTTATGGGCCTCCTCTTGTCAGAGCTGGGGGGCTGCAGCCGGTGCCAGCCTTCTAAAGTCTTACGCACGATAAATTCAGCGCACGGGTCGGTGGCGAAAAAGGCTTTACAAAAATATGAAATCCCTGCGGACTGAATATTGAGAGTCTTTGGTGCCCTGCCCAGCTCCTTCAGGTGGGCTAAGTAGCAGAGGACCTCCATCGTTGAGGGAATGGAATTCTGCCTTGTGCTGGGTATTCTGCTGCGGAACTTTAAGAAGTCAGCCCAAGCCTTCTTGTATGATCTCACTGTGGAAGGGGCCCTTCATCACTTCTTGCTCCCAAGACTCCAGAGATGCTCCGGGAAAGGCATCGATGATTGTTCCGCATCCGGCGCTAATGAGAGGAAGCGCTCCATCTGAAAACGAGACAGAGCATCCGCGATGTCATTATTAATGCCAGGTACGAATTTGACTGAAAAATATATATTCTGTTCCAGACACAGAAGGACGAAGGACCGTAACAAGTTCCCCACCCTGGTGGAGCGCGCGGACTGTCTAGAAAGAACCGCTACTACTGCCTGGTTATCTGTGTTGAAACAAACCCTATGATTGCGGAACTGCTCTACCCAAAGATGTACTGCCACTACAATAGGGAAAAATTCCAAGAATGTAAGGTCCCAAGTAATGGGCTGGCCCTGCCAATCTGCAGGCCACTTTTGGGCACACCACTGGCCCCTGAAATAAACTCCAAAACCCAAGGAACCTGCCGCATCTGACTGGACTTGGAAGTCAGCATTGAGTGCCATGGAATCTTGCCATAAGTACCTGTCGAGGAATTGTAGCCAGACTCCCAGATCCGCCTTAACTTCTTTGGAGAGGCGCACCCTATGCTGTGGTGCCCTGAGACCTGCCGACAATCTGGCCAGACGGCCACAAAAGCGAAATTTAGGTGACCTAGCAGGGATTGAATTTGCCTTAGGGTAACCTTCTTTAGGGGCAATAGCTGCTGTATTAGTGCCTTAAGGGCGAACAGTTTTTCCTCGGGTAATCTAGACGTTTGGGCCACGGTGTCTAACTCTATGCCCAGATAGACCATGGAAGTGGCTGGACCCTCCGTTTTCTCGGTGGCCAGTGGCACCCCCAGCTCCCAGGCCAGGGCCGTGAAGGCCTCCAAAAGGGCGGAGCATCATTGCCTATTATCTGCCACCAAAATAAAGTCTACATGCCCACCGATCCTGTCCTGAATCGTAGGGCCCAAAGGAGAAACGTACTGAACGACTCAAAGGCTGAGCAAGCCACGGAGCAGCCCATAGGCATTGCTTTGTCAATGAAATACGCCCCCTCAAATCTAAAGCCCAACCAATGGAAGTCAGCTGGATGGACGGGAAGAAGGTGGAACGCCGACTCGATGTCACATTTGGCTAGAAGTGCCCCTTACCCAAATCTGCGAATTATTTTAACAGCTTGGTCAAAGGAGGTGTATTTCACAGTACAAAGTTCCTGGGGGATCACGTCATTAACCGAGCCTCCCCTTGGGTAAAAGAGGTTGTGGATCATGCGAAATTCCCCTGGGGCCTTTTTAGGTACAATGCCCAGGGGGGATAGGTGAAGTCCTTCCAGGGGAGGTTCGGAAAAGGGGCCTGCCCTGATCTCTTTCTCTATCTTTTTTCTAACTACCTCGGGCCTTTCCCTAACTGATTTTTGATTTTGTGGGTCCCAGTGTTGGGGGGAAAAGCCACGGGGATCCTGAACCCCACGGAGAACCCCTCCCAAAGGTATTGTGCGGCTTTTCGATCAGGATATTGGTCTAGCAGGGTTTTGAGGGGCTGGAGATGGATAGGGGAGAAGGCAAGGCCAAGATACCTATTATTGACGGTTACTGGGCCCCTGATGAGAGGATCTGGGGGCACCTCTGGCATTGTTGTTGAAGTACCCCCTGCCCCCCGAAAGGGCTGCTGCTTATTCTTGAAGCACGCCGAGGCAGGGTTGTTTCCCTAGCACCGCTCGCATTTGTGAAGATACTTACAGGAGGGACGCAAACATACACCTCTGTTGTATTCCCAACACTGGCGGTGCCGTTTTGCATCTGTCTTACCCGACTTGGCCGATTCATAGAATCATAGAATCATAGAGTTGGAAGAGACCACAAGGGCCATCGAGTCCAACCCCCTGCCAAGCAGGAAACACCATCAGAGCACTCCTGACATATGGTTGTCAAGCCTCTGCTTAAAGACCTCCAAAGAAGGAGACTCCACCACACTCCTTGGCAGCAAATTCCACTGTCGAACAGCTCTTACTGTCAGGAAGTTCTTCCTAATGTTTAGGTGGAATCTTCTTTCTTGTAGTTTGGATCCATTGCTCCGTGTCCGCTTCTCTGGAGCAGCAGAAAACAACCTTTCTCCCTCCTCTATGTGACATCCTTTTATATATTTGAACATGGCTATCATATCACCCCTTAACCTCCTCTTCTCCAGGCTAAACATGCCCAGCTATCTTAGCCGTTCCTCATAAGGCATCGTTTTCATCGATTCCTGGCTTTTCTTTTCGATATAAGGGCCAACGTCCTCGCCCCAGTAATTAGGATCCCTTAGGTCCCATCGGGTGGAAGGCAGGAGAGAAGCATTTCTACGGAAATTCTCATCATATGTTAAAGCGGCATTTTCCCCTGCCAGCGTGTGAGCCCGCCTCACATGCGCCAAATAAGCAACCAGATCCATGGAGCGCCGCGGATAAGCCGCGCAAACAACCCCCATGAAAACCTGGTACCCATCCAAACAATTCTCAAAGGTGCGTTCTGCCCTAGGCGTCCTATACCTCCGCTTACCGAAAGAGCGCCTCTTTTCACCTTTCCCCATTAGTTTAGTAGGAGGGAGAAGGATAAACATGTCCACATAGTCACCGTTGAGGATCTTATTCCTCTTCTTCTGGGACAAATGGTTCCCCAATATAAAATCAGTGGACTGATTGGTGGAAACCTTTACATCTTCTCTTCCAACTCTATGATTCTATGATTCAACGCCCCATCCTTCCGTTCCATTGAAGGTCTTACGATGGGAATTGGCCCTCCTTTCATGCGCCCAAAGTGGGATCCCATGATTCTCTTCCCCAAAACCCCAGTAACCATCCATTGGCCCCTCGCTATCCGATTCGGATGAGGATGTACCTGAGTCATCCTCGGTCTCTGACTGCTTGCTCCTTTTCTTCTTTACCGACGTGTGCTTCTTCTTGGATTTCCTCTTACCCCCTTGCGCCTCACTGCTGGACGGGTTCGTGCTGGCTGAGCCATTTGGGGTTCCATCTGGTCTTCCTCCGAACCGGAACCCGCACTGTCCTCAGTAGAGCTGTGCTGGGGCTGCTGTTCCTGAAAAGCACTAGGAATACCTACAACCTGTGAAATGGAATTGCTGCTGGCCCCTTTAGCAGGCGCCTTCCCCTTGCCGGGACCCTTTGCAGGTGCCTTACCTTTACCAGCGCTTTGGTTGGCTTTCTTAGTAATAGCTGCCTGGGCGCGGGTATTAGGGCGACCTACATTTTTGGTTTCAGACTGGGCACTGACCACTGCAGCGGCTGAAATGCCCTGCTGCCCTTGATTATTAGGAGGAGTATCGGGTATTACCTCCTGTGATGGTTCTGGGGCTGGAAGTGCAAGAGCCCTTGGCCTACATTGCCTATAAAATGTTTCAAAAGCCATAAAAATTGAGCAAAGGCTTGAGGGTCACAGGGCATGGCCGGTAATTGGGCGCCCCCATTACCTGTCGAAGATGCCAGCTGATTGCCTGAGGAGGATGCCTGCTGGTTACCGCCAGAAGCCATTCCGCACTATGAAATACACCAAGGAAACCTCCAAATTATTAGTAAACTACTAGCTCGGAATTGCCCACACCGGTGGGAATGCGTACCCGCTAGCACCTGCTAAGAATCAACACCACCACTTAAGAGTTGCACCTAGCTCAGTATTATCTACACTGGCTTAGATCTACCCTGAATCTAGAGAAGCTAGTTCAGTATAATCTACGCTGACTTTCGGCGCAGAACCACAAGGCTAGTTCGGTATTTCCTACTCTAGCCACCCGCCGCTAGAGGCTCCGGCTATATACGGTGGAAAAATTAGGCAATTTATTTATTTAATTTAATTTATTTATTTATTTTTATTTTTATTATTTTATTGATTTTTATTTTTATTTTATTTTATTCTTCTTAACCTATTTGTTTATAATAGAACTTTTATTTTTTTTTCTCTCTCTCTCTCTATATATGCTTTATTTATTTAATTATTTGTTTATTTTTTGTGTACTATTAAGCTTCTGCTCAAGCAGGCAGCTCCTGTAGAGGCAGTCCTCTTTGCCAGAACCAACCGTAGTGTAAGCAAGTCCTTTTGTTGCCTTTATGAATTAAGGCTTTTAAAAGCAGAGCTGAAATAAGATATAAGCCACAGTGCTTGCCAATTGCACCAATCAATCAATTGCAAAAATCAATCCTACAAGCAGCCAGCAGACAGCACTTTACAACCAGCACTCAGCCCTCCAAAGACCTTTAATTGCCTCTATGAGTTGAGGCTTTAAAAAGGAGAGCTGAAATAACAATATAAACCACAGTGTTTGCTAATTGCACCAATTAATTTCAAAGGCAGTCAGCAGTCAGGACTCTGAAATCAGTACTCAGCATTTCCAAAGACTCTTTTATTATATTATTATTATTATTATTTAAAGTATTTCCCCCAATAACCACATTTTAAAAGCCTGTCATTTAGAAACTTGCTACAGCAATAGATTCTCCCCTGTAATGCTGCAGACCCGGGAGCCAGCAGCGGGAGGGATACCAACAATGTAGCTGCCCCTTGCACAGAGCAGCTTAGCCTATGCTGGCAATTTATAATAAGCGTCAGAGCTGCTGCTGAGAGGGAAGGGTAAAACAAAGTTGTAAATACAAGCCTCCCTAGTGTGTAGAGGGCGATTATTCAAAACGCCAGGCAGAGGACTTCCGGGTCAGCGCCATCGGTGAATGGCGGAGTTCCTCCATCCGGAGGAACGGGCTCCGTGGAAACTGGGTCTTCCCGCTGCGGCGAAGGTGGGGACCCGCTAGAAATCCCAGGCGGAGGAAGCCTGGGAACGTGGGGTTCGGCAGGGCACCAGGAGCGCCCCCCTACTCGCGGGGAATCCCATTTAGGGGCTCCAGAGCGGTGCTGCGAACTGACTGCTACTTTCACGGAGTGAAGCCACACAGCCATTGCCGGAGAGCGCTGACTTTTTCCTGTGGACAATTGGATTTAAAACAAGTACCCGTGAGTAGAAACGGAAAATTGGATCAAGAAATTTCTTAATTTGGTATCGAAGCGGGAAGGTTCAAAACAGGAAGTCCGCCTTCCGCTTTTTGTATATAGACTAAAGCAAAAACTTTGTAAGCTAAAGCTTGGAAAGCTGCCAAAAAAGTCTAAATTTCCTTCATTCAGAATTACTGAAACCCCCTTGGAAGCAGGAGAAAAGGGAGGGGGGACTTTGTTCAACCCTAGCAGGAGAGGGAGTGAAGAAGGATAAGTTTCCACTGTCTCTAACCTGGGAACGGGGTGTGAGAGACAGAAATTGTTGGAGAGGTTCATTGACTGTGAATGGAATATTTTGACAGATAGCTAAAGAAGAGAAACAAGCTGATTCCAATGTTGCCTTTTGCATCCTAAAGAAACAAAATATCTGAAAAATATCTGAAAAACGAAAGTAATTTTCCTTTGTTGGACTTGCCTAAAAAAAATGGATACAAATAGAAATTGCCTCCTCTAGAGGGAGCTTGTCAAATTGTTGCTGCAGTATATTTGAGGGCTCAGCAGCTGTGAGATTAAGACCGTGGGAACAGTCTTTTCTGACCTTGACTAAAGATGAGCTGGGAGGAAGACTGGGTGCTTGCCTTATGCAAGACAAGTGCCTTGCTGGAACAGATGCATGAGAAGATGGACTTGATGAATGAGAAAATGGATTTGAATGTTGTGGTTAATAACTGTGGACAAACAGGAAACATTGATACAGAAATTATTCAGGGACCAACTCATGAATCTGTACTGACTGGGCAAGTGCAGAAGATAATGGAGGAGGATGCGGTTGCACCCCAAATAATACAAATGGAGAGTCCCTAGGCCCTACAGGAGCATGAGCCGCTGTCATTGAAGATTGAAGTTGGAGTGGGCCAGGGGGAGTCTGGAGCTGAGGAGGTTCCTAATGTTGGAGAGACCTTGGAATATGCTTTTAAATACTTTATGGACTATATCGAGGACTGTGGGGAGTGGGACTGTGGGGAATGGGCGGGCTTGATGAAGGGAGATGGAGATAATTTTGGCTTGGAATCCCCCAGAGGCCTACTCCTCAATGAGAAAGGAAAGAAACTAAGAAAGAGACCAACAAAAGACAAGGAAAAGGGCAAGTATAAACAAGAAGAAGAAGAATTGCAGAAGGGACATGGAAGAGACTTAAGGGCCTCGGACATAAGGCTTCCAGGTTGATGGACTAGATGGAATGGACAGTAAGGACTGACACGATCCGAGACCAGGAAGAAGGGACGTTGGATGAAGATTGGAAATTTTTTTATAAAGAAAACTTTCTATTTAGGGAATTGGCTAAAAATTAATGAATATTAGGGAAAATGTTGGAATGAAACTATATGACTTTAGCAGAAATGATATTAGGAGTAACGTACATTTGATAACTAAGATTCAAGCTTTAAGGTATTTTAGGGTAAGATAAGGTTAAATAAATTTAGGTAATTTGAATAATAGAATTTGGGGGAAGATGGAAAGGATTCGTTGAGCTAATTATTAGGTTAAATTGTTAGGATAAATTTTTTAACAAAAATTGAGAAAGATGGAAAGAATTTGCTGAAATAACTAAGTAAACTAGAATACAAAAAGGGAGGTGTGAGGAAGTCAATGAAACAAGCAAATGGAAGTTTCAGATATGTAATTTGGAATCTGTGTTGTTTTCTTTTTATCTTTTTGCTGTATTGTTGTATTGGTTTCTGTGTTTTTTCTTTCCTTTTTATGTATTATAGTGTTGTTTTTCAATGTTTCTTTTTCCCCCTATAATTCTGAAACTACTAATAAATATTATTTTAAAAAAAACAAAACGCCAGGCAGCAGGGGTTGCCAAAGTCCTCAGGAATGAGGTTAATAACGCTTATTATTCCCTCCCCCAAAGATCGGAGCAGCCCTGTATCACGGTCAAGCCTGAACCATACAGAATATGCTTGCCACTACCCTTCCCTTACTTAAAATGGCCGCCGGCGCTTCGCCACGTGGGCTCTCCAAAATGGCGACGGCTGTTTGCCAGTACCTCGCCCTTACAAAAGATGGGTGCCCAAGCTTCACCACGCGCGCCTGTAAATGCTGCTGGTTACCTAGCTGCAGTGATGCCACAAACGAGGTGAAAATAAAGAGGCAAGGGGGAGGAATGTTCCAAGCTATGCAACAACAAATGCAGCCTCCCCACCACGAAAGAGGAGAAATAAAGAGGCTGGAGAAATAAATTAATTGTAAATAATGTGGTGACGGAAGAATTTAAAATAGAAAAAGGGACACGACAAGGTTGCCCAATTTCCCCACTACTTTTTATTTCGGTCCTGGAGGTTTTGTTGAGCATGATAAGAAGGGACCAGCTGGTTAAAGGTATACAGGTCGGAACTAAACAGTACAAACTGAGAGCATTTGCAGATGACTTAGTACTGACGCTACAGGAGCCAGAATCTAGTACCAAAAGGGTTTTAGAACTGATTGAAGAATTTGGTCAGGTCGCAGGATTCAAATTGAACAAGTTAAAAACTAAGGTTTTAGAGAAAAATTTAACACCAACGGAGAGAGAAAGGTTTCAGAATGTGACAGGTTTAACAGTGGCTAAGAAAGTCAAACACCTGGGGATTAATATGACAGCAAAAAAATTATTCAAAGATAACTATGAACAATGTTGGGCTGAAGTGAAAAAAGATTTAGAAATTTGGTCAAATTTGAAGCTTTCACTGCTGGGCCGGATTGCTGCGGTAAAAATGAATGTATTGCCTAGAATGTTATTTCTGTTTCAAACATTGCAAATTGTGGACAAAATGGACTGTTTCAAGAGGTGGCAGAGAGATAGTTCCAGATTTGTGTGGCAGGGCAAGAAGCCCAGAATAAAATTTAAAATACTAACAGATGTAAAGGAAAGAGGTGGATTTGCCCTGCCAGACCTTAAACTTTATTATGAATCAGCAGCTTTTTGCTGGTTGAAAGAATGGCTGCTTCTTGAAAAAACTGACATTTTGGATTTGGAAGGTTTTAACAATGTATTTGGATGGCATGCATATCTGTGGTATGATAAGGTTAAAGCACATAAAGCATTTAAAAATCATATTGTCAGGAAAGCATTGTTTAATGTTTGGATAAGATATAAGGATTTATTGGAAAATAAAACTCCAAGGTGGCTGTCACCAATGGAAGCAAAAGCCTTGAAAAAGCTCAATATGGAGGTCAAGTGGCCGAAATATTGGGAAATCTTAGAACAAGATGGAGATAGATTGAAATTGCAGAGTTTTGAAAAATTAAAAAACAAAGTGCGAGACTGGCTTCATTATTATCAGATAATGGAGGTATACAATTTGGACAAGAAAATTGGCTTCCAGGTGGAAAAATCAAAATTAGAAACAGAACTGTTAGAACCCAAAACTAAGACCTTGTCAAGAATGTATAAGTTGCTGCTGAAATGGAACACTCAGGATGAAACGGTGAAATCTGCTATGATTAAATGGGCCCAAGATGTTGGACATAACATCATGTTCGCTGACTGGGAACAGTTATGGACCACAGGTATGAAGTTTACAGCATGTAATGCCTTAAGAGAGAATATTATGAAAATGATATACAGGTGGTACATAACCCCAGTTAAGTTTGCAAAAATCTACCATTTGCCCGATAATAAATGTTGGAAATGTAAAGAAACTGAAGGTACATTTTTTCACCTTTGGTGGACGTGCCGAAAGATTAAGGCTTTCTGGGAGATGATATATAATGAATTAAAAAAGGTATTTAAATATACCTTCTTGAAGAAACCAGAGGCCTTTCTCCTGGGCATAGTCGGCCAATTGGTGTTAAAAAAGGATAGAACTTTCTTTATGTATGCTACAACAGCAGCAAGAATACTCATCACAAAGTATTGGAAGACACAAGAGCTACCCACACTGGAGGAATGGCAGATGAAATTGATGGACTATATGGAATTGGCGGAAATGACTGGCAGAATCCGTGACCAGGGAGAAGAGTCGGTGGAAGAAGATTGGAAGAAATTCAAAGATTACTTACAGAAATATTGCAAAATTAAAGAATGTTAGAGTGATGTTGGATTGAAATTAAGTGGCTTTTAGCTGTACAGGTTTTAAAGTTATAGATAGATCAAGATTAAGGATTAGGATTAAAAAAGTTAAAAGAAATGGAAAATTGGCTTTTAATAGGTTAAAATTTAATGTTATATCATATCAAGACTAAGGATTGGGATTAAAAAGGAGGGAAAGGAATTGCTGGACAAACAAATTGAATTGGAATACAAAAGAGGGAGGTATGAGGAGGTCCGGGAAATAAGTCAATGTAAAAGTTAAGATGAAAAGATGGAATTGTTTTTAATTGTTTTTTCTTTCTTTTTTTTTGTTTTGTTTGTATTTTGTATGGTGTATTTCTCTTTTTATTTTTAAATTTCTTTTTTTTCTCTTATTAAGATGTCTCTTTTTATGTGAAACTTCAATAAATATCTTTTTTTTCAAAAAAGAGAGAAATAAAGGGGCTGGGGGGGGGGGAATACTCTGAGCTACTTGATCACAAAGGCAGCCTCCCCACTGACGAACTCACCCTTCTTGAGGACCTTCCCCACACCCGGACAAGGTCCTAGCAGATGCGTAGTGAGCAGGGAAGCTGCATGCACGGCTTAAAGCAGGGACGGATTTAAACCTCCCTGCCTGGAAAATTAGTCTAGGAAGATCCACAGCCCCGCAGATACCCGTCTGCGAAGAGAGGGGGGACTGCCTGATTAAATTACAAAAAACCACCCCCCACACCCAAGTACTTAGCCGGCCGCAGGACGATCAGGGGAGACTTTCTGGACGTCCCAGCAACTCCGATGTAGCTTGGAAGCAAAACACCAATGCAGAGACGCTCCCAAAAGCTGGTCCAGTAAAAGGAACAGAGAGCAGAAAAGCCGACAAACAAAAAGCCGACAGACAAAAACCAGGATCAAAACCGCTCAGCTGGAAAGGGGAAAGAGGGCGGTCCCCGGGCATGCCTGGCCTTAAGTAGGCTGGGCCACGCCTCGTCGAAGGCACGCCCGGGGATTCCCTGGATCTCGCGGGGGCAAAAGGCCAGCCCCCGCGTGTGTGGGAGGGGGTAGCCCGCAACCCCCTCTCCTCCCAAGCTCGGAAATGGCTTTGTAGACACTTTTCCCACTTCACTTTGAGACCCTCCGTCTGGAAACGGTGCAGAACAGTGCGGAGGCAGTCCTCAAACTCCTTTGGCGTGGGCCCAGCAATCAACACATCATCGAAGAAGGGGGTGACGCCAGGGATCCCTTTAAGGAGAGAGTCCATTAGATTCTGGAATATGCCTGGTGCCACGCTGACACCGAATTGCAGCCGCTTTACCTTGAACGCTCCTCTGTGTGTCACACTCGTCTGTGCCTCTGCTGTGGCCTCATCCACCAGCAGCTGTTGATAGGCTTGGGCCAAGTTCAGCTTGCCAATTTTTTTTGACCCAGCCAGGGTGGAGATGACATGGCTGACCACTGGCACTGGGTATGTGTGGGCCGTGAGGGCCTTGTTTATGGTACATTTGTAGTCTGCACAAATGCGGACTGAACCATTAGGATTGACGAGTGTGATGATCGGGGTTTTCCGGGGGCATTAGGCACAGGCTCCAGCACTCCTTGCTCCACGAGCTGGTCCAATTCCTCGTCTATACGGGGTTTCAGGGTGAATGGGACCCAGCGGGCCTTGAGCCTGACAGGTCGTACTGTGGGGTCAAGCTGTAGGGCGATGGGGGGCCTGTATACTGTCCCAATTTCCCATCAAATACCCCTGGAAATTCCTTGCATATGGCGTCCACATCCATTTGTAAGCTAGTGCGGTTCACCCCGGTGACGGCTAGCCCCAGTGGTCCAAACCAAGGCAATCCCAGTAAGCTAATGTAGGGGCCCTTGACCACAAGCAAGTCCAGTTGCCGCGTCCGCCCTTGATAATGCACCCTGAAGGTCCCCACCGCCATTGTGGGGACCTTACGTTTCTGGAAGTCCCGAAGGGTGAATGGGGCTGGCCTGAGTCTGGGACCCCCACTAAGGCACAGTTTCCTTAAGGTCCTTGCTGAGATTATGGATAGAGTTGAACCCGTGTCAAGCTCCATGCAGCATGTGGCCCCCTCTCTCTGTACCTCTGCATGAATTTTCTCTATGTTGGGGTGGAGCAACTGGTATACCTGGCAGTCCGTGATCTCCATTGAGTTGCCTTGGTACGTTGGGCCCTGGGACCTAGGGCTCTTGGATCGGTCATCCGATGCCTGGCGTCGGGTGGGCCGAGCCCGACACACCTGGGCAATGTGTCCCAATTTTTTGAACTGCCTGCACTCTACATTGTGGAAACAGCAGGTCCTCCTCTCTTGACTCTCCCTGCAGCTTGCGTCGTTCCCTCCTTCTCGTTGAGGCAGCTGTGGTCTGTGCGCTGCTTGAGTGCGTCGCTGAACTCGGTGCACCTCCTCCCTGTTGGATCCTGAGTTGTCGGCGAGGTCTTCATGATGGACCCTCGGTTGGGGTGGCAGGCTCTGCCGTGCTTCTTGCGTCAACCTCTCAGCAATTTCAGTTGCTAGGGCCTCCTCCAGAGCGACCTGGAATGTTAGGTCCTTCTTGGCATAGTGGCGTCGTTGCAGCTTCTCATCCTTCAGGCCACCAACGAGGTGGTCATGAAGCATGTTCTCCAACTCTGAGAAGTTGCAGGCGGGTCCTGGGCCCGGGCGGCTTGGCGGAAGGAGGTCACAAACCCAGTTATGGTTTCCCCAGGGGCTTTCCACTTTGCATAGAAGGCATTTTGACGAGACACCACTGAGGGTTGCGGCGAGAAGTGCCCCTTCAGCTGTTCCATTATTGTTTTGTATGGAACAGTAGCGACATCTTCAGGCGCAAGGAGAGCCTGGGCGATTTTGAACATCTCCTCTCAGCAGATGCTGAAGAATATTGCCCTCTTCTTGGCGTCTTCTTCATTGGTGACCCCTTTGGCTTCTAGGAGGAAGGTGAAATGGGAGGCGTACGCTTCCCAGTCTCAATAATGTTGGGTTGAACGGTGAGAAGTTGCTGTCGGTTGCCATTCTGAGTTCCTTGCGGTCTGGAGCTGAAGTCTGGGTACATGGTGCGAGGCAGTGGTGTGGCAGGTGCTGTGGTGCTGTGGTGCTGTGTGTGGCGGTCAACTCAGTGGGATCCCACCTTCGTTGCCAGTGAAATATACTCGGAGTCGAGAGTGGATTTCATGCTCTTTATTCAGCTCATAGTGGTGAGGAGGAATGGAAGTTCCCCCAGAATGTCTGCTTTATATACATTATTTACAGAATGGGCCCCATGTGATTGGCTAATTCCGGGATTCTCCTGTAGGCCAAGCAGGTTGCAGACTGCTGCATTTTGGATCCTATTCAACTCAGTACATAACAATGTTTCTCTTGAGTGGAAAACTCCACATGTGCCTCAACATTTTGCTTCAGGTACAATTTAGAGGCTGCACTGGTGCCAAGTCGTGTCAACTTTGCTCACTGCATGGAGTGCTTCTTTGCATGCTAGTAACATGCATTATTATATTTTTAATGGGAATGCACCAAACTCTGATAGGGATTTTCACTAGACCTATTCCGTGGAGTAGTGGAGAGGAGTGTCCTGCCCCCGAAGAAGAGCAAAGGACGGATCTTGCTTGCTCTGGCAAGCGAATTACTTGATAATGCAGCCTTCAAGTTTGTTTGTGACAGCTTAGCAGAGAGAAACTCAAAGACTGAGAGAAATAATCAAGCAGATGCTGGAAATGTCTTTCTTTTGTTTGATGGGTTCCTATTTCACACAAGCTCTGGAAATGGTAATAGCTTATTTGCAAGCTTCTTTGCATTTCAAATTAAAAACTAAAAGGCTTAATTTCATCTGGCTGAAGAGCCTTTGTTAAATCTCAGTGACAGAAGCAATAAGATATCATAAGACCACGTTACACCCTGCCCCACCAGAGCATCATAGGCCAGGTCATGTGGTAAAGCTGAGCTTTAAAGGCCAAAGCCCTGACTGAATAGAACAACTTTGCAGACAGCCAGTGTGAAGGGAGCAAAGTAGGTTTCCCTGCACAGGGAGTTGCAGAGTCTGGGAGCAGCAGCAGAAAAGGCTCTGCTCAGCCACCTAAGCAAAGAAAAGGCATCTGGGTGGAAGCTAAGGGCGGGCAGCTGAGAGTCCTGTGAAGGGGCTCTGTGATTAAACATGCTAAAACAATATATTTTTAAAAAGAACCTAAGGCATTCTTCTTCATTCACCTCTGTGGGTGCTCTGAATGTGCAGGTGATCCATTATGAGAGGAGCCCTGGTTCAGGTTGCACGTTGCAGTGCAGTTTGCATCATGCATGCCTTTAACTTACACAACTTCAAGTAGAATCATAGAATCATAGAGTTGGAAGAGACCACAAGGGCCATCGAGTCCAACCCCCTGCCAAGCAGGAAACACCATCAGAGCACTCCTGACATATGGTTGTCAAGCCTCTGCTTAAAGACCTCCAAAGAAGGAGACTCCACCACACTCCTTGGCAGCAAATTCCACTGTCGAACAGCTCTTACTGTCAGGAAGTTCTTCCTAATGTTTAGGTGGAATCTTCTTTCTTGTAGTTTGGATCCATTGCTCCGTGTCCACTTCTCTGGAGTCCACTTCTCTGGAGCAGCAGAAAACAACCTTTCTCGGAGGCAGATTCTGCAAAGGTGGTGAGAAACACTTTTCTTCTCCTTATCACTCTTCTCTACTAGGACCCTGCTGCCAGTTTAAGGACCTGTCAGACCCTTTTTCTTCTTCTGCCTCTCTAGGACCTGCCTGAAAGATGGGGAAGACTTTGCCCTTTGCCTGCCAGCACTTTCCAAGGCCCCACCAGCTGGAGGAGAAGGTGGGGAAGCCCTGATTCATTCAGCGCTGGCTTTCTGGCCACACAAAGATGGAGAGGGAGGCACCAACAGAAAGCGCAGGCTCCTTTGCAGCTCAGCGGACAAGGGATAGTGAGTCAGAAGACTCCCTGGATCCCAGGGTCACCTTCCATTGGGAAGGGGAGTATACTTTATAGACAATTTAAGGTAATTTGGCCTATGCATGATTTTTGCCTTATGCACTGACTTCAGAACCCAGATGCAACTCTGCTCTAGTGTGGAAAAACAACACTTTAATTGTTCTCAGAAACAAATAGGAAGCCAGTGCAGATGTTTCAGCGGTGGAACAACCTGCTCCTGAAACCTGGCTTTGCTCATCAGCCTAGCTGCTGCATTTTGTATGAGCTGAAATGTCTTTTTTCAAAATGGCATTATTTATTTATTTGTTTGTTTATCTCATAATATTTATTATGCTTGATTATTTTTTTAAAAGCCTCAAAGCGGTTTACAAAAAGATAAAACAACAAAATCACAAAAATTTTACAACGCTGCTTTAAAACATAGAAAAGTTAAAATGCTAAAACAGATAAAATTACCTCAACTTTCTAAGGACCTATGACATTTGGTGGCAACTGTCCTGTGACCCTTGATTCTTCCCTTGCTATTCCAGACCAGCTCCTCTTCCCGTTGGTGCTAAATCTCCCAGCATATCAGCCTGCCACATCCCCTCACAGATGGTTTCCCTGGCAATGGCTGTCCTTCTTGAAATTGTGTTGCTCTTCTGCCTCAACCCTTTGGCTGGACATCCGCTTGGCTAGACATTACTGGTTTTGACCCTTTGGTTTGTGCCACAGCTGTTCTGTTGGGCATTCTCTATATGATTGAATCTGCTCCTGCCAGAACTGACATCTGGTCTCGTAACTTTGGTAAACTGTCCATGCCTCGGCTGCGACAGGAGCGTACAGGTTTGTTCTAGAGTACAACAAATGACTGCTGGCACTGTGATTCCATTCTGCTCCTTCTTTTCATGCAAGTCTCTGTTTAAATTTTTTATTTGGCAAGGATTGAACGTTGGCAACTTCTGTACTGTAAGTGAAACTGCTGAGACACCAATTAACATTTCATTGCTAAGAGTCATCCATTTGTTATTTGTAGTTGTGGCCAAATTTGTATGTTTGAACTTTAAAGGCTTTGTTTGCATGGTCTGTAGCACATCAGAAAATGGCAAAAAAATGGATAATTACCACTCGTGTATTAAAAGAGCAACACCTAGTCAAAGAGGGGGCAGACCCAAAGGAGGCTTAGCCTTACTGTTCTCAACGCAGATACAAGCTAATATTATCCAATTACCCTCCAATGATGAATGGTCTGTAGCAGCAGTTTTAGATTTCGGACAAAGCAAACTGCTATGCATAAACTTATACTAACCTACATGTCGTCGGCAGGCACAAGTAGAACAACTATGGAAAGAAGTGGAAGCCCACGTGGTGCAATGGAGGAGACAACACCCGTCAGCCATGATATTACTAGCTGGTGACCTAAACGCAAGAGTGGGCCCTAACGACAACGCCCTATATGCACATTTTCACCAATGGCCTCCAGAAATGGAAACTATCCCACCCCTAATGATAAGATCATCCTACGATAAGACATGCAACATTGGAGGACTACATTTAGCACACATGGCCTACAGACAGAATCTACACTTACTGAATGGGGCTATACAAGGAGATTATCCTGGTCAATACACATATTGGTCAGGACACAAACTGTCAACGATAGATTATTGCATTGTTTCCCAGGACCTGATCCCTAGGATATCAAAATTCACCATTACAGCAAGAGCTGAAAGTGATCATCTACCTTTATCCCTCGTGTGTGATTTACCCTTTGATCTGCCCAAACCACAACACAGATATCAACCAGATCTAACACCCGGAACAGGCCTCATGCAAATCAGATGGAACGGACAAGTGAGCGAGCAGATATCTAACTGGTATAAAACTGAGGAGAGCTACCGTCTCTCAAAAGCAATCATGGAAGGGTGCTTAGAAATAGAGGAGAGCGCCCCGAACATGATGACAACATATGAAATGCTTATACAAAAAATTCAAGAGTTTGTTGTAAAACCGAATTCCAAGTCTCCCCACCGTCGGAAAACTTCCAGGGAGTGGTTCGATCATGAGTGTATAACCTCCAAGAAATCATTGATCCACTCCTTCATCTGCCATAAGGATAATCCAACAGAGGATAACAGACAAAAGATGCTTGAAGCCAAAAGAAGTTACAAAAAACTTCTGACACAAAAGAAAAGATACGCAATGAAGTTAGTATGGCAGCAACTGATAGAGGCCTCCAAATCAAGTAACCCATCATTATTCTGGAGAATCGTAGCTGTACAGCCGGATAGGGGCCTATCACAACTATCCTGCTGCATATCGATGAAAGCCTGGGAAACGCACTTTCATAATCTTTACGAGGAATCTAGCGATGAGTCCTATGCAATAGACATACCGGATGATCAGATACAGCCATGGCCAGCAGTCTCATTAACAGAGACCCATCTGCTGATTGACCAACTAAAGAACGGGAAAGCCCCCGGAATTGACTGTATACCAGCGGAAATATTTAAAACCAATGTGAACTGGTGGGCCCCCTTGCTAGCCCCTCTGTTCACATATATAGATAGAACTGCACAGATCCCATACGATTGGGGGACTTCCATCATTATTCCCATTTACAAAAAAGGCTCGAGGGACGATCCCTCCAACTATAGACCTATAAGCCTCCTGAATATAATAAGTAAATTATACGCTAAACACCTCAGCGAGAAACTGTGCGAATGGATAGAAAGAGCGAAGATTCTTGATGATGCACAGGCAGGATTTAGACAAGGGAGATCCACAATGGATCACTGCCTGATCTTACAGCACCTAGCTGAGAAATACACGTCGCACCACAATCACCACCTATTCGCAGCATTTGTAGATTTTAAAGCAGCCTTTGACTCCATCCCAAGAACTCGACTCTGGGACAAACTCAACAAATCATCCATAGACCGACGTCTGCTGCTACTAATATACAAACTGTACAACAACACACGACTTCGTATAAGATGCAGCCAAGAAGGTCAACTCTCTAATTTCATTAGAACAACAAAGGGAGTTAAACAAGGATGCATTTTGGCCCCCTTTTTGTTCAACATCTATATAAACTCCCTAATAGACCACGTACAAGGAGCGGATACACACGCCCCAAAATTAGCAGACAAAAAACTGCCTATCCTACTCTATGCTGACGATGCGGTTATATTGTCCCAGACTCAGATGGGCCTCAAAAGAGCTCTTAACAGCTTATCCCAATATTGTAGAGAAGAGAAACTAGCAGTGAACTACCAAAAAACAAAAATCATGATTTTCTCTAACAAAAGGAAAATATACAGATGGAATTTAGACAATCAGGAGATTGAACAAGTGACATGCTTTAAATATCTAGGAGTGATATTCCAAGCATCAAGGAAGAAGACTGCCCACATAAACTACAGCTCCTTTACAGCACAAAAAAGTACAACAGCAATCCTAAGATTCCATCGTACAACGGGAGGAAATTTCATTCCTGCTACAATCAAACTATTCGTTGCAAAACCAACAGCACAAATCCTATATGGTGCACCACTCATCTCCCTCTCTAATCTAGACCCATATGAGAAGATACAATCAGGTTTCCTTAGATCACTCCTGCAAACACCTAAATGCGTCCCAAACGCCGCCCTACGACTGGAAGCGGGCTTACACAGCATTAAAGCCAAAGTATGGATAAGAACCTTATGCACTTGGCTAAGACTTAACAACTCGCTGGTTGGACTACTTTCCCTGCTGCTTCTTGACAAATTCCAATCTAGCTGGTTGAAGGGCATTCTCAGAAAACTGGCCACATATGGTCTCTCCCCAGAGTATTTATTAAGTTTAGAAAGGGGAAGGGCCAAGAACATAATCAAAGAAAGACTCAGGGACATTGAAACCCAAAATGACTTTAACCAACTTCCGATAACTTATAAACTTCTATACAATTCCCAAAGGCCCCATCTAGCAAACTATCTCAAAGTTCTAGACAACGCCAAACACCGATGGGCATTTTCCAGGGCCCGCGTTAACGCTCTCCCTTCAGCTCTTCTAGAGGGAAGATACAATAAAATACCGATTGAACAAAGATTATGTCCCTGTAACAGCAATGAAATCGAAACCATTGGGCATGTCATCTTATACTGCCCATTATATCGAGACTCAAGAAAAGAGCTGATCGAACCGATTCTGAGGAAAATACCTTGTAGTACAGACGACACCTATATCAGACACCTCTTAGCTGACAAAGAGCCCGAAATCAACAGGTCCGTGGCAAAGTACTGTTACATTGCAACAAGAATAAGACGAGCAATGATGTCTACAAAGGGGATCAAGCAGTAAACATCGAAGGAACGATAATAAACAGTAGCGACTCCTGAATTGAATTTTAAAAACTTAAAACTCGAAACCTGGTCATAAATATAAGCACCAATTCTGTGAATTGGCCATATTTTTACTGTTACTTGTAGTACAATACTACTCTTAATGTCATATTTTATAAATTGCTTCCTGGTCACTGACCGTATTAAAGATATTTGATTTGATTGAAAATGCCTTGCTCTATTAATTTCCATATAATTAAAATTTGTAGATGTTGCCAACAGATCAAAGAAAAATAAATAAAAAGAATGAATACCTTTTTTAAAGAAATGCAGAAGTTGCATGCAAAATGTCATCTCAAAATAAAAACAAAATAGAGATAATTTGGCTTTAAAGCATTGTTCTCTTTAGAATTCAAAATTAGATTGCTTTTAATTTCTTACCGAAGAATATTTTTTTTAAAAAAGCCTATTGCAAGAGAAAGAAGTAATCAAATAGCAAACTGGTATGAGAAATAAAGAAAATAGATGGGGGGGGGGCTCCTTTGGGGGGGAGGAGTGTTTATTTGTGAGTTGTTGGTATCAGCTTCCTAATTTGTACTTTCCCCTCTGCCTTCTGTTATACAAAAATGTAAACCAGATTGCAGTTCTTATTTAGTGCATGGATTCCCTAATCTTTTATTTTGGTGAAGTGTAATGCTGCATTTGAGGTGCATCAGTTGTTGATGTGTTGATATAGAAAATCTGTTGTGACTGTTTACATTCAACTAGAAATATATTACCCTATTTTTCCGTGTATAACATGTCCCCCATGTATAAGATGACCCCTATTTTTTTGGCCTGCAACAAAAATTTTGGGGGAGATTACCCAGAGTTGTTGAGCGAGCTTTTTTTTTTTTGGGGGGGGGGGGAGATTGCTGCGGCCACCAGTCATCTGCACACTCACTGCCAAAAGCCCTCTTGCCCACTCGATGCAAACACAGCAAATTGCACACATGACTTGCCACTGCTGTAAATCTCCCACTTAATTACTGCTGTCAATTGCCTGCTGGCTGCTGCCACCAATCACCCATCCCACCACTGCTATCCATGTATAAGACAACTCACAATTTTTGCCAATTTTTCTAAGGAAAAAAGGTGAAAAAATATGATAATTTTTGGATTAGATGGTTGATTGTCCACATTCGTAAAAGTACAAAAAAAAAAAGTTTCCCAAGAACTGCATGTACAGCAGGTGGATTCATGTAGTAGAGAGGGGTACAGAGAAGAAATGCTGTGGATCCTCCTTATCTCCTGAATGATAATAATAATAATAATAATAATAATAATAATAATAATAATAATAATTTATTTGTACCCTGCCCATCTGGCTGGGTTTCCCCAGCCACTCTGGGCGGCTTCCAACAAAGATTAAAAATACATTATTTAATCCCTCCAAGGACTCAGCTACATTAGTAGAAATAAAACATTATCAATGCATTACAGTGGTACCTCAGTTTTCGAACAGCTTAGTTCCCGAACAACTTGGAATCCACACACTGCAAACCCAGAAGTCAGTGTTCCAGTTTGTGAACTTTTTTCGGAAGTCGAACTTGCTCCATTCTGAGTGTTACACTTCCGTTTTCGGTGCCACACTTCCCTTTTCTGAGTGAGGGAAGGCCAGGCTGGGCAGCAAGCAAGCAGGCAAGGGATGTCACTGGGTCTGCCGCCGCCGCCGCCACATCCTCTGGTACCGGGTGACGCCTGTGACTGCAGCTTCAGGCACCAGAGCAACACCGAGTGGCTCGGCCCCAGCAGTGCCTCCCTTTCCTTCCCCGCCATGTAAACTTCCCCTCCCGCATCCAGTTAGCCACCTCCTTACACACACGAACCCTCCCCCCCCCCGTGCTCTTCATCCCTCCAATGGCAATGGGTAGTTCACTGACAGTTTTTGATACTGGGTAGTACTGTAGATTGCAGCCTATTTGAAGTTGGACATACCTTATAGCTTTCATTTTATGGATCAATGGTCTTTTTAGATAGTAAAATTTATATTAAATCGCTGCTTTAGGGGTTGTTTTTAAAAGTCTGGAAAGGATTAATCCATTTTGCATTACTTTCTATGGGAAAGTGTGCCTTGGTTTTGGAATGCTTTGGTTTTGAAATGGACTTCCAGAACAGATTAAGTTTGAGAACCAAGGTACCACTGTATAACACTGTGACACCAGATGGCATTGTAGAGCTGAAATCATTATGAGCTTTAAAACGGTTTTCAGAGCATTTCAGAGTGTTTTTTATAACTGTGTAGATGCAGCTCAAGTCACAATAACCCCAAAGCTACTACTGGCTGCTCATGTAACTACAAAATCATTCTCACCTCTGACTGCCTTCATTGCCACTTAGTAAGGGTTGATTATTATCATTATTAATAATTCTGAATGGATTCACTGCTACTTTGTGCAATAATTTTATTGGTTATGAAATTATATTTCTGTTCCTGCAAAGAGCACTTGACAAAAATTCAGAGGCATTTTTTTAATTATTATTATTATTATTATTATTATTATTGAAATGCAGCATGACTGAGTCTTCCATTTCTATTTCATACTCAGCAGGAACCAGTTTATCTGTTCTGTGCTCCTACTACATTTTGAATTTCTTCATAAAATCATACAACGCTCCCTGTCTTGATATTATGGCAATGTGAAACAGGATGTCATATTTAAAAAACAGAGCAGAGACCTGGAAACGATGCCTTATGAGGAACGGCTAAGAGAGCTGGGCATGTTTAGCCTGGAGAAGAGGAGGTTAAGGGGTGATATGATAGCCATGTTCAAATATATAAAAGGATGTCACATAGAGGAGGGAGAAAGGTTGTTTTCTGCTGCTCCAGAGAAGCGGACACGGAGCAATGGATCCAAACTACAAGAAAGAAGATTCCACCTAAACATTAGGAAGAACTTCCTGACAGTAAGAGCTGTTCGACAGTGGAATTTGCTGCCAAGGAGTGTGGTGGAGTCTCCTTCTTTGGAGGTCTTTAAGCAGAGGCTTGACAACCATATGTCAGGAGTGCTCTGATGGTGTTCCTGCTTGGCAGGGGGTTGGACTCGATGGCCCTTGTGGTCTCTTCCAACTCTATGATTCTATGATTCTATGACTATATCAAGAGGAACAGGAGATTGACAGCATCACAGCTTGTCACCCCTGAAGGCAAACATAATGCTCTTCTTTATTAATGTGTGTCATGGACATGCTAAAAGGCATTGCCAGGCCCTGGATCAGAGCACTGAAGGGTACCTATAAGGCTGGAAAGTCCTCTTGCTCAAAAGAGGTCTCTGTAAGATACAGACAGTCTGCTCTTCCCCAGCTCACTGTTGCCTCTTATCTTGTACATGCCAGGCATATATACTTTGGTTAGTGACATCTGCTGTGCACTGCATTTCTTGATGTTTGTACTCAGTCTTTTATGCTGAACATGTAATATCATTAATTCAGTTATTGCCATATGATATTGTTGCACCCAGTCATTTTGCCTTCCTAGATTCATTTCCATCTGTATTAGAAAAATGTCCATCATTGTGACAGATAGGACACAGAAGCAAATTGCACTCCCTCTATGGGATCCCTCTTGGAAGCCAAGCCAGAGATGGTGCAGGGAGGGGTTGGCCTGTCACAAGGTGGTTGAGGTCTGCATCATTTGGGGGCGGGGGGTGAATGGGAGCTCTTCAGTTATGTTAGATACAGTAAAAGGTCACTCTTGGAAGCACTGAGTGGGAGGGAGGATTAACAACAATATCCAGGATGAGATTCAGGTTTGACCGCTTTCAACTTTATCCCATAAACAACCACCTCTCCCTCCCCTCCATCAGGAACTCTTCCAAAGCTGACTCTTTGAATCTCTTGTCTCACCTCCATCTCCTCAGTAGATTGCCCCACATACTTTCACCTTCTCCTCAGAACCACCAATTTCCCTTTTCCTATGATTTTCACTGGGGTCAAATAAACACATTTTTTTCAGGCCCTGTACAGGGGCTTCACTTGCACAGGGCTGCAATACTTTTAAAGTGAGGAACCCCTTTACTAACCAGTCAAGGACCCTCACTGTCTTTTAAACTCTCTGGGAAGGTCCAGGAGGCGAGTACTCAAAAGGCCTGCTTTGCCAGTGAGCTGCTTATTTAAATTTGGACCCAGATTGAACCTGGTCCATCTTTCCTGCAGACTGGCTAGATCCTGCACAGGACCACCTTCTTCTTCTTTTTGTTTTTTTATTACATATACAAATACATATACAAAATGTTTACATAATATTACATGTACATTATACTTGTAAATTCACATTTTTCATTTCATTATTTATAAACATTTAGTCATTTCTTACTTGCATTTTATCTTTCCCCTATATCATAACCCTGTGTCTTCCCTCCACCCGTGCATGACTTCCTAATTTTTATATTATAACTTTATTATTGTGATTGTACTCTTATATCTTAATAATTTAAACATACATTCTTGTATTTCTGTTTATATTAACTGTGAGATCAATCTATACATATCAATAATTTTTTGTTGGAGCATCTTTTAACCATGTATTCGTCTACACACTTCCATTCCTGTTTGAGATTTTGGTTAGATTGCATTCTAATTATTGTTGTCAATTTTGCTAATTCAATCAATTCAAAAAAAATTACATTGCCAATCTGACACTGATGGTACTCTTCAGATTTCCAATTTTTGGCAACCAGTAACCTAGCGGCAGCTGTTGCAGATAGAAAAATTCTCTTCATGACTTCTGGAGGTGGCGCCAACGGTAATGGCGGATTCCCTCTGATTCGGAGGGAACCCGCTCCACAGAAACAGGGTCGGATACCGCTTTGGCGCAGCGGGGACCCCTGAAATCACAGGCAGGTGAAGCCTGTGAACCTGGGACTCGGCGGGCACTGTCTACGCCCCCCCAATCCGTGAAGGAACCCGGCAACGGGCTCCGGAACGGAGCGGGGAAGTGGCGCTGTGCTGTGAGTCGTCTGCTTCTTCTGTGGAGTGAAGCCGCGTAGCTGTTGCCGGAGAGCGCTGCCTTTCTTCCTTGACAATTTGGCTTTGAAAATAACGATCCGTGAGTAGGATTACTACCTAACTAAAGGAACTGTAAAAAAAATTGGAAGTAATTGGCCGAAGCGGAGAGGTATAAAAGGGAAGTCTGCCTCCCGCTCTTGTAGAGAGAACAAAGCATTGAACTTGAAAGCGGAAGCTTTAAAAGACGTGTAAAAGGATTACAATCTGATCATCTAACCGGGATTCCCCCCCCCCTCAATTTGGGGGAGGAGGGGGGGAAGTTTTGAACGTTATTTCCCCAAGAAGAAGTGAGAAAGAGGAGATAAAAACCACCGCTCAAAACCCCCTGGAACGGGTTCCCAGTGACAGTAAAAAGCCTAAGAGAATGTACTGTCTTTGAACGTATTTTGACAGCTAGCTCTGCATTGGAAATACAATTTGGATACAATATTGCTGACAGGTATCTCCTGGTCCTAGAGTAACTGCTTAAGATAGATTGTTATCTTCCTGGTGAATTGGGGGACTAAAGGGAAAAGTAAATTACTTTAAGAACTTTATGACTGTTACAGTGTCCCCCTAGTGGAATTTGGAACTAGTTACAACTGCAGCTGGCCTGAGGAAATTTCTCAGACTGTTTTCCTGGAACTTTCCATTTCAAAACAACTTTGACTCTGACTGTGTGGCTGACCTTGAGTTTTATCTAGAGGGGTATGGCAGATGGGAAAGAGTTACAAGCAACAAGGTCTGGCAGAGTATATCGTACAGATGGTGGATTGCAAAGGAGAGCTTCGACATCTGGCCCCCCTGGAGTTCCAATAGCAACCTCATCAGCACAACCTAAAATTAAAGGTATGGCAAGTGACGATGCCCTGGTTCAGGCACTGGCTAAAATTAATGAATTTTTGGATAGAATAAGTAAACAAGTAGCAGAGGCATCGGATAAGATTGATCAAAATACGACAAGTATTAACCAAAATACGGCAAGTATCAATAATTTGGGGCAGAAAGTAAACAATAATACAGAAACTATTCAGAAATTATTACAGGAATCTGCTTCGACACGTGAGATTGCCGAAGAGGCTAAAGAAACTGCTACAGCTACTGTTGCAGAGGTTCAAGAGAAGATACCACCGCTACATAAACAACTTGAAGACCATAAGTCAATCCTGTCTATGATCGAGTTGAAGGAGAAACAAGTGAACTTAAGGGTCAGAGCTGTACCTGAAGTGGAGAAAGACAACTTAGTTGAATTTCTTACGCAGGAATTCCTAGATTTTTGGAATCCAGATTTGGGGAAAGACAGTTTTAAAATAGTGAACGCTTTTAGACTTGGGAAAGGAGGGGGAAAGAGGGTGAGAGATTGTTTGATCACCCTCCAAACAAAAGAAGAGAGAGACAAGATTTTGAGTTTGCATTTCCAGAAGACACTGGAAATACAACAGTCAAAAGTGGAGATATTCAAGGATATTCCGAAACATCTTCTGGATCTCAGGTTTAAATACAAAGACCTGGTTACCCTGTTGAGAAGTAACGGAATTAACTTTAGGTGGGAATTTCCTCAAGGCCTATCCTTTAGCTACAAAGGAAAGAAGATAAAAATAAGATCGGAAGACGACAAAGACAAATTTTTGAGAGACCACGGAGAAGACCTACAGAAGAAAGTTACAGGAGAGCTAAGAGCAACTGTAAGAGAAACTTTAGACATACCAGGACTATCTCTGGAACTAAAAGACCGCCTGAAAAACGTGATACCACCGACGGAACAGGAACAGGCACTGGGTGCCATTGGAGGAGAACCAAAATAATTACATCATGGCCCTGCAACTATTAAGTTGGAATTGTAATGGTCTCAATTCCCCGCAGAAAAGGAAATCTGTGTTTCATTTATTAAAAAAGGAACAATTGGACTTGATTTGCCTACAAGAAACACATATAACAAGATTACACAGGAAATTATTGATAAATAAAAGACTTGGTCAAGAGTTTATTTCATCGGACAAAGTTAAAAAAAGAGGGGTTGTGATTTATGCAAAGGACAGATTATCACCGAAATTTATTTTTAAAGATGACCAAGGAAGATTTGTGGCAATTGAAATTCAAACGCAAGGAGAAAATTTTTTGATAGTAGGAATTTATGCACCAAATGAGGGGAAATCTGATTTTTTAAAGAAGTTGCATGGACTATTTGGATTATGACATGATTTTGATGGGAGACATGAATGGAGTGGTATCTACACATATGGACAAGGCACAAAGACAGGTAGTCACTAATGATGGTAGACTACCGAAAACTTTTTTTGAGATGACAGACAACTTGGACTTAGTTGATATCTGGAGAACAAGAAACCCCATGGCTAAAGAGGGAACCTTCTTTTCTGAAGCCAAAATGACATGGACAAGAATTGACCAAATATGGGTAACTAGAGGAATGGCACCTAAGACAACAAAGGTGGAAATCTGCCCGAAAACTTGCTCCGACCATAATGCTGTCAAGATGGGAATGAAACTAACACCAACTGGCTCCTTCAGATGGAGGATGAATGACACCTTATTTAGAGATGAAGAAGTGTTAAAGAAGGCCCAAAAAACCTTGAGAGACTATTTTGAGATAAATATGAACACCAACGTGGAAAAAAGAGTAATCTGGGACGCAAGTAAAGCGGTTATGAGAGGGTTTCTGATACAACAGAATGCAGTAAAGAAGAGAATTCAAAATGAGAAGAAGGATAAGATATTGGAGAAAATAAAAAAGTGAAAAAAGATTGAGAACAAATCCAAAATCTCAAGAGATTCTGAGAGAACTAAAGCTACATCAAGTACAATACATGAAAATGACGAATCAGGAAATAGAATGGAAAATTAAACAAATGAGACAAAAGACATTCGAGTCGGCTAACAAATGTGGGAAACTGTTGGCTTGGCAAATGAAAAAAAGACAAAAATTAAATACAGTTACGAATTTAGAAGTGGAAGGAAGGAATATACAGAACCCAGCTGAGATTAGAAATTGTTTCCAGAGGTACTTTAAACAACTATACACACAAGGGCCACTGAAAGAAACTGATCTAGATCAATTTTTGAAAACAAATGGATTACAAAAAAATCTCTCAAGAAAATAAATTAATGTTGAACTATAAAATAACTGAACAGGAGATAGAAGGTGCCATTCAAAACATGCAATTGGGTAAGTCTCCAGGACCGGATGGACTGACTTCTAGATATTACAGATCCTTGAAAGAATGGCTAGTGCAACCTTTGAAAGAGGTCTGTAATGAAATAATGGAGGGGAAAAGAGCACCAGAGTCGTGGAAAGAAGCTTATATTACACTTGTACCGAAAACAGAGACTGAAAAGACACAGCTTAAGAACTACCGCCCCATATCATTACTCAATGTGGATTACAAAATTTTTGCAGACATTTTGGCTAAGAGATTTAAAAAAGTGTTGATGGAAGAGATTCATAAAGATCAAGCGGGCTTTCTCCCAGGAAGACACTTGTCTGACAATTTGAGGAATATAATTGATACTTTGGAAAAACTAGAAGTGAACATGAATACTAAAGCAGTTTTGATATTTGTGGACGCGGAGAAAGCTTTTGACAATATTTCTTGGAGCTTTATGAAGAAGAACCTACAGGGTATGGGGGTAGGCCAAGGCTTTGAAAATGGTATAAGTGCAATTTATTCAGAACAAAAGGCTAAATTAATTGTAAATAATGTGGTGACGGAAGAACTTAAAATAGAAAAAGGGACACGACAAGGTTGCCCAATCTCCCCCCTACTTTTTATTTCGGTCCTGGAGGTTTTGCTGAACATGATTAGAAGGGACCAGCTGGTTAAACGTATACAGGTCGGAGCTAAACAGTACAAACTGAGGGCATTTGCAGATGATTTAGTACTGACGTTACAGGAGCCAGAATCTAGTACCAAAAGGGCTTTAGAACTGATTCAAGAATTTGGTCAGGTTGCAGGATTTAAATTGAACAAGTTAAAAACTAAGGTTTTAGAGAAAAATCTAACACCAATGGAGAGAGAGTGGTTTCAGACTGTGACCGGTTTAACAGTGGTTAAGAAAGTTAAATACCTGGGGATTAACATGACAGCAAAAAATGGGAATTTATTTAAAGAGAACTATGAAAAATGTTGGGCTGAAGTGAAAAAAGATTTAGAAATCTGGTAAAATTTGAAGCTTTCACTGCTGGGCCGTATTGCTGCGGTAAAAAGGAATGTATTGCCTAGAATGTTGTTTTTGTTTCAAACACTGCAAATTGTGGACAAAATGGACTGTTTCAAGAGGTGGCAGAGAGATATTTCTAGATTTGTCTGGCAGGGCAAGAAGCCCAGAATAAAATTTAAAATACTAACAGATGCAAAGGAAAGAGGTGGATTTGCCCTGCCAGACCTTAAACTTTATTATGAATCAGCAGCCTTCTGCTGGTTGAAAGAATGGCTGCTTCTTGAAAACACTGACATTTTGGATCTAGAAGGTTTTAACAATGTATTTGGATGGCATGCATATCTGTGGTATGATAAGGTCAAAGCACATAAAGCATTTAAAAATCACATTGTCAGGAAAGCACTGTTTAATGTTTGGATAAGATACAAGGATTCATTGGAAAATAAAACTCCAAGGTGGCTGTCACCAATGGAAGCAAAAGCCTTGAAAAAGCTCAATATGGAGGTCAAATGGCCGAAATATTGGGAAATTTTGGAACAAGATGGAGACAGACTGAAATTGCAGAGTTTTGAAAAATTAAAAAACAAAGTGCGAGACTGGCTTCATTATTATCAGATAATGGATGCATACAATTTGGACAAGAAAATTGGCTTCCAGGTGGAAAAATCAAAATTAGAAACAGAACTGTTAGAACCCAAAACTAAGAATTTGTCAAGAATGTATAAGTTGCTGCTGAAATGGAACACTCAGGATGAAACGGTGAAATCTGCTATGATTAAATGGGCACAAGACGTTGGACACAACATTATGTTCGCTGACTGGGAACAGTTATGGACCACAGGTTTGACGTTTACAGCATGTAATGCCTTAAGAGAGAATATTATGAAAATGATATACAGGTGGTACATAACCCCAGTTAAGCTTGCAAAAATCTACCATTTGCCTGATAATAAATGTTGGAAATGTAAAGAAACTGAAGGTACATTTTTTCACCTTTGGTGGACATGCCCAAAGATTAAGGCTTTCTGGGAGATGATATATAACGAATTAAAAAGGGTATTTAAATATGCCTTCTTGAAGAAACCAGAGGCCTTTCTCCTGGGCATAGTCGGCCAATTGGTGTTAAAAAAGGATAGAACTTTCTTTATGTATGCCACAACAGCAGCAAGAATACTTATCGCAAAGTATTGGAAGACACAAGAGCTACCCACACTGGAGGAATGGCAGATGAAATTGATGGACTATATGAAATTGGCGGAAATGACTGGCAGAATCTGTGACCAGGGAGAAGAGTCGGTGGAAGAAGATTGGACGAAATTCAAAGATTACTTACAGAAATATTGCAAAATTAATGAATGTTAGAGTGATGTTGGATTGAAATTAAGTGGCTTCTAGCTGTACAGGCTTTAAAATTATATATAGACCAAGATTAAGGATTAGGATTAAAAAGGCTAAAAGAATGCAAAATTGGTATTTAATAGGTAAAAATTTAATGTTATATTATATTAAGATTAAGGATTGGGATTAAAAAGGAGGGAAAGGAATTGCTGGACAAACAAACTGAATTGGAATACAAAAGAGGGAGGTATGAGGAGGTCCGAGAAACAAGTAAATGTAAAAGAAGTGATGAAAAGATGGAATTGTTTTTAACTGTTTTTATTCTTTTTTCTTTCTGTATTCTGTATTGTGTATTTTTCTTTTTATTTTTAAATTCTTCTTTTTTTATTAATGTGATTATTTTCATGTGAAACTTTAATAAATATCATTTAAAAAAAGAAAAAGAAAAATTCTCTTCATGTCTTTGGGGATGTCATTTGATACGATTCCTAGAAGGAATGCATTTGGCTTTTTACCAATTGTTATTCTAAACATTCTTCTCAATTCCTCATGTATATTTCCCCATTTATTTATTTATTTTCTCACATCCCCACCAGATGTGATACAAAGATCCCCCTGATACCTTACACCTTCAACATAAATTCGATGGTAATTTATAAATTTTGGCTAGTTTTAGAGGGGTTAAATACCACCTATAAAACATCTTCATAATATTTTCTTTGATAGAGTTACATGCAGTGAAATTAGTATCTTATTTCCATAGTTTTTCCCATAGGTCTAATGGAATCGCGTATCCAAAGTCCTGTCCCCACTTGATCATTACTTCTTTAATTTGTTCATCTTTGAGTTCCCATTCGAGTAATAAATTATACATTTTTGACAGATTCCTTTTGGAATTATTCAAGAGTTCTAGCTGGAATTTTGATTCTTCTTTTTGGAAACTGTTAAGTTGTGGGTAGACATAGCAGACGATTCTTCCAAAGCAGCTCTTTATTTGTAAGCTGGAACAGAACTGACTGAGGAGCTCAGTCAGCCTGCTTATATAGAGCTCCAGAACAATGTAACTGTTGCCATTTTCTAAAACTATCCAATCACTGAACGTCACTTTCGATCCTTCATTTGCATACAAACTATCCAATCACTGAACGTCACTTTCGATCCTTCATTTGCATAACTATCTACAGTATCCCCCTGCTGGCCCAGGGTGAGAACTTAAGTACATAACAGAAACCAATTTTATTATCAGAGTTAAATTTGTCATATAATTGATGATGTTGTAGCCAAGTGGTACAAACCTGTTTAATTTCTTCATAAGGTTTCAGTTTTAATTGTCCTTGCTCTTCCTTTAATATTTGTTTGTACGTTACCCCTAGTTTTTCCATATTTTTCTTTTTTATCGATATCATTTCAAGTGGGGCTGTCCACCTGGTCTTTGGTTCTAGTAACCTATGATATTTCCTCCATACTTAAATAAGAGAGTTTCTTATTATATGGTTCATAAATCCTTGATGGACCTTTGTCTTATTGTCTAGGAGCTATGCATGCCAACCGTATCCATTATTCTGTCCCTCTAAATCAGGGGTCAGCAACCTTTTTCAACCGTGGGCCGGTCCACCGTCCCTCAGACTATGTGGTGGGCCGAACTATATTTTGGAAAAAAAAATGAATTCCTATGCTCCACAAATAACCCAGAGATGCATTTTAAATAAAAGGACACATCCTACTAATGTAAAAACATGCTGATTCTCGGACCGTCTGCAGGCTGGATTGAGAAGGCGATTGGGCCGCATCTGGCCTCTGGGCCTTAGGTTGCCTACCCCTGCTCTAAATCCAATAAATCAGTATTTTCTAATAGTATCCAATATTTAGTCCAACAGAGACAACAGGCCTCATAATATAATTTTAAATCCGGGGGACTAAATCCTCCCCTTTCTCATTTGTCAGTACAGTGGTACCTCTGGTTGTGAACGGGATCAATTCCGGAGCCCTGTTCGCAACCTGAGCAGAACGCAACCCGCGATTCGCCGCAACCCTCGATTCTGCACATGCACGTGACGTCATTTTGAGTGTTGGCGCATGCGAGAGTGGCGAAACCTGGAAGTAACCCTTTCCGGTACTTCTGGGTCGCTGTGGGACGCAACCTGAAAACACTCAAGCTGAAGCATCTTTTACCCGAGGTATGACTGTAAGTCATACCTCACACCCTGCCACACACACCCTGCCATATAAATTTTAATAAATTTCTTCTCCATTTTTCAAAGCATTCCATCTTTCCAATTACAGTGGTGCCCCGCAAGACGAATGCCTCGCAAGACGGAAAACCCGCTAGACGAAAGGGTTTTCCGTTTTGGAGGTGCTTCGCAAAACGAATTTCCTATGTGCTTGCTTCGCAAGACGAAAATGTCTTGCGAGTTCCTGCGGGGTTTTTTTCCTTTCCCCCCCCTTTTCCCCAAGCCGCTAAACCGCTTATCAGCTGATGGCTAAGCCGCTTAACAGCTGATGCTAAGCCGCTTATCAGCTGATCGTTAAGCCGCTTATCAGCTGATCCACTAAGCCCGCTAAGCCGCTAATACTGTAGCACTAATCCGCTAAACCGCTAATGGGCTTGCTTCGCAAGACGAAAAAACCCGCAAGACGAAGAGACTCGTGGAACAGATTCTTTTCGTCTTGCGAGGCACCACTGTACAGGAATCATTTGAAACAAAAATAATATTTTTGGGAGGATGTTCATTTTTATTGCTGAAATTTCCCCCCAGAATGATAATTTTAATCTATGCCAAATTTCCAAATCCTTTTTAATCTGTTTCCATAATTTATTATAATTATCTTCGAATAGATTGATATTCTTCATTGTGGTTTGTATTCCTAGATACCTTATTTTATTGACAATTTCTAAACCTGATTCTTCTTGTAGATACTTTTTCTGTTGTTCATTCATATTTTTCATCATTAATTATGTTTTGGACATATTGAGTTTGAAACCAGAAACTCTTCCATAACATTCCATTTTTTCTAGAACTTTTTAAACACTTATTTCTGAGTCTTTCACCATTAAGACTACATCATTTGCGAATGCTCGCAACTTAAAAGATTTATGGCCCACGGATATGCCTTTTCTTTCTTTCTCCTCACTTATCTCTTGATTGAGAAGTTCTAGGGTTAGAATAATAATAACAGGGAGAGAGGACACCCCTGAGGACCACCTTCTTCTTCCTGTCTGATAACTTAATCCCTAGATCAATCTGTTCCAGTCCTTGTTCAGCACCTCATGGGCTTGAATAGGGCAGGCTGACACAGATACTTAATCCTGCAACCAAACTGAAAATTGTCTTCCCATGGCATCATTTTCCCCTCAGAGTCTCTAAAGTGGGAACCATGGCATCCTTCCATGACTATCTCCACATGTCGTCCCATAACTCACTGTGCAATCCAGGGGATTCTCTCCATGCTATGGCAATCCTCAACCTCAGTTTCACTTTTTCTTTTTCAATCCTTAACATAACCACAGTGTTTCATTTTCTTTCTTTCTTTAGCTATAAAACACAAAGGAACACCCAGAAGCATCCATTTGGCTGTAAATCTCCAGACTGGGCTTTTTCGTTTTGTTTTTTGACATGATGTGCAAATTCAAAAGGTTTCAAGTGGAACCAGCAGGTGCTCCAGCCTGGCGCTTCTGGGAAGGCATCAAAACCCTTTGAATGACACCAAATTTCTATGGTTTAATATAATATTAGCTAAAAATGCAAAAAATGATTTGCCATAAGTATTTTTTTCTTTATTGTAATAATAATGATTTAAATGGAAATATTTGGTGTTCCTTAATGTCATACTTCCCACCTTGCTAATTCCTTATATGCTTCAAATGTA